ATGGTGACTTTTGAACTCGATAACGATGAAATTTGGAAAAGTGGTAAACATATGAAATGTAGCCCTTTGAATCATCTTTCCAACAGTCCAATAATCATCTTAATACAAGTTCTAAAGCTCAAGATATTCTTAAAATACCGAGGCATGCTCAAGCTGGAATGTAATCTAGAATCTTCTCTTTACTTCAACTTCCATAACTTCTTCAATTCAACTCCGATTCTTGATCCGCTTGTTTCCACTAGATACTCATTCCGTTGCCAATATGATTCTTCATCCGACCATAACATTTAAGCACTAGTAGCCTGAAAAACACTCGTGATCCCGTAAAAGGCAATTATGAAAATATTAAGCAACTTTACCAAATTAAGCCTAATTTCCCACAATTAATCCCCATAAACCACTAACTAAATGTGTATTTTCAAGCTCTTATCAAGTATTCTGGTTTCACATAAAATAGTACTCCTAAATAGACAAGCCATAGAATTCCTAGTTCTACTAAGACTGAAACCTTCACGGCTTGCTATAAAAGTAGAGGCTTGTCCTCTCGATGAAGATTCATGATTCTTTTACACGCTTATTTAACCAATAGTCTAGAATCCAAGCATTCTAAATGCAAGCCTCATATAATTCCTCCACCTTTAGTTGTCCTTTTCTGTAGAATCGAGTTCTGACCCTTCTACGGTGAAGTCAGTTTGTCTTAGCCCTGAAAAACAGTAACCTTCCTTACCCTTATTTGTGCTCAATTTTCCATCACAACCTTGCTGACTTGAGCGTCGAAGTGCTTATGATAGACACCACACCGGTGTCCCCAAGTACTTCACGTTTGGTTTATGTGTCTCTTTGCATCAAGATTGCCAATGACTCAACATCCCAGTGATAATTCTAGGTAGATTTCATCGTCCTAACAGCATTAGAACCATGTCGGATGCTTGCATAATCCTGACGGATCAACGATGAGATAAGACAATTGTATACGAACAACAATCTAATATACAACACAAAGAGCAAAAAAAGATTTTTATAGTGGTTTCAGCTTTTTAGAGTGCAAAACCTACGTCCACTGTTGTATATTGAGTGTATTTGCGAACAGAGTTATAGAAAACTATCTCAAGTTCTCTCTTGAGTTCTCTCTTTATCTCTTTTCTCAGCTAATAAGAGCTTAAAAATACATGTTTAGTAGTGGTTTATTAAGATTATTTGTGGGAAAATTAGTTTAAATTGCAAAATTTGAGTTAATTATTTCATAAATATCTTTTATGAGATAGCAGGTGTGTTTTGAGTATTTTCAGATAATAAATGGTCATAAATGATATTCAAATAAAGCATAATGTTAGCAACAGAAATTGTGACGATTGGGAACAAACGGATCAAGCATCGAAGTTGAAACAAGAAAGTTATGGTGCTTTGAAAATGAGATTCGAATCCTAGAATTTCCTTGATTTGTGGAGCTATGAACCTCATAATTGGATGATTATGTTGGCATTGGAAAGCTGATTCAGAGATCTACAATTCTTGTGTTGATTACTTTATCTAATTCTGAAGATATCAGGCTCGTTGGAGGAAAAGAATGATCGTCGTCGCAACAACAATTTTTGCCACTGCAGTGATAGCACTTGGGCCTATATGGGATGTGTTAAGCCTAGTCTGAGTTTCCTTGCTTCATTTTGAATAGAATTTCTCCTAATCACACTCTTAAAACCCTAGTAATATAAATAAAGGTCTTTAGCTAGTTTTAGGAAAAGATTGGAAAGAAAGAAGATTAGCCATTCTTTAGAGATTAAGATTCTTGGAGTTTTGGTTTGTCAATTAGAGAAGTTTTTTCTATTTTCTTTCTTTTACTCATGTTTATTAATACAATGGTTGTTTTTATTGAAAGTATGAACTAAATATCTTTTCTAGGGCTAAGATGTAGCCTAATTTTATGAATATGCATTGATTTTTATTATTGTTAATTTTAAGTTGAGCATTGTTCTAAGTTTTATTATTGTACATAATGTTTTCAATTCTTATGGATCTGAGAGTTGAATGATTTTATAGGTTAGGTTGTGATCGAGAGATGAAACCTAATTAGTCTAAAGTAATAAAACCATAAATTGAGTCAATGCTAGAGATAAGTTATCGCGATCTATGAGGTTGTAGTAAATTCCATGAAACTTAATGACCTCTTAGCTTCTAAATCCACTTCAGAGATATTTTCGGTTGTTGATTAAGAGTTAATTTGGTAATTGTTCGAGAGAAAATTAACGAAATATTAGGGAATTTGACCTTTAGAATAAGCTTAATTAGGTTAGCAATAATTGTCAACGCATAAGATAAAATTGGTGTGTAATCTATGTCCTAGGTTTAGTCGTATTGATTTTCAACCAAAGTTTTGATAAAATTTTGCTACTATTTACTTTTTAATTTGCTTTAATTTTAGTACATTTTTCTTAAGGAATTTGATTAGTCAAATAGTAATAAGATATGTTAGTTTGGTACTTGGTAATAGTAGTTCTCTTGGGATCAACACTCTATATTAATCCTTTATTACTTGTGCGATTTCGTACAGTTGCAAAAATCCTGTCATCAGGCTAACTGTTCTTGTATGTGCGTATGTTTTGTTGTCCCCTCAAAAAGTACTAGGGTTGGGTTTATATAACACCCATTACAATTTTGAATTGGAAATAAATACTAAATCCTCGGAAATAGGAAAACAACTTGATCATCAATTCTAATTCTGGAGTTCATATCGCATGATATCTCCTTGCCAAAATCGGAATTATCCTTCCCCGAGTGGGAATTACCCTTTTTGGATTTACCGCATAACAATATATAAGGTTATTCTAGGAAGATCAAGGTTATGTGTTTGGAAAGGTGATTAAAGTTGGTTAAGTGTTTGGAAAGGCGGTTAAATTTGTTTAACCCCTTTGTTTTGACATTTAATTAATATTTTATTAATTGATCTAATATTAATTAAGTATTTTGCGACCAATATGATGATTATAGGTTTAGAATATATATTGTCATTAGATATTATCAGTACAGAAGAAAAATGAAAATGAAGTTTTGATAATGATGATTGATCAGCACTTTTTAACCAAGATTTGACTAACATTAACATCTATAGTACCTCATAATAAAATCTTCTAAGGTACGAAAAAGTATTGAAGGAATGTGACATTTTGGCTTCTATAAATTCGGCGGCCTCTGATACAGATAATGAAATGTGTAAATGTGATCCTTTATTTTCGGCAGGCAAAAATTTGATAATGAGATAGTTTTACTCCAAAGCAACCTGCTTTCACTGAGATGCAGATAGGCTTACATTCTATGCTTGATAATAACTAATTAATCGCTAAGCATTTAGTTTGGTTGACAAATAACTTCCAAGTTTCAACAACTTCCGCTTCAAGTCCAATACAATATCACACTCGTGAAGGAAGTTGTTCGTTTGGGTTGTTAATTTGTCACTAACAAATGACTTGAATTATTAAACTTAAACATTGGCGTTCAAACGAGATCGAGATGTGATGAAAATCGTATTCTAAGCTTACAGCTAATTGTAGTTGATACATATTCATCACATCGACTCATTTCTATATTCATCAAAAGTTGTATGCACATAGCTATCTTACTTTAAACTTCAATTAATCACTTGCCCATCAATCTATAATTGTTTCTGTTTGCTTTTGGGCAAGTGTGAAATTCTATCTATATACACATAATTATTATCTAATTTATTTATAAAAAAGAGCTTTTAGAGTTTAAAAATAGTTAATTTACTTTAGAAGTGCATGAATATTGAAATCCATAAGTATTAGAGATACTTTCTAGTACTTGTCCTTTTTATTTAGAACCAAAATATACTTCACTAATAATTAACATTAAGATATAAAAAAAAGTTTATTATTATTATTATTTATGAACTGAATGCATGGCCAAAATGAAAGTAGACAGTCATAAATAGAAAAAGACCCAACTACTATTGATTCCAATCCAGTCATATAAATAGAATTGACCTGGGTCCCCCTGATTCTCTCATTGGATCCATGACATACAGTAAAGTCCAAATACGGGGCTTGACACCAGTCCTCCCCACCTAATTTTCCGTCCAGAAACACGTATCTTGTCCTTTCGTCATAACTAATGCAACAAGAATTGTCTCACGTGTCTTTTTGTTCATATATTTTTCTAACTCTCTTCTTTTTTCTTCGAAAGTCCACATGGGTATGGAATGGTCCAAATTACCAAGCCGTCCAAGTTCCAACTTGGTGTTCTTGAACTGTTGAGCAGCCATATATACTAACTAAAACACTTCAACTTGCCACTTTTTTTTTTTTTTTTTTTTTTGGTTGCAAATTAACAATATGAATGATGTTTACTATTGCCCTCCCAAGTCAAATATTATTTCTTCTCTTTGCTTTTTTTTTATTAATGGAGCTTTAAAGTTTGATTCTTTCTAAAAGCAATATCTTATTTTAAATTCTTCATCCTTTAGGAAAAAAAAAAAAAAAAAAAAAAAGGTAAAAATGTTTGCTTAAAATGAATCTGTCTTATATTCCTACTCGAATCAAATTCGTCCCGTGTTTACATTAATTGGCAGAGTCAGATGAGAAACAATTGGCTGTGCATATAATTTTCTTTGCCATCACATGTGAACTTATCGATTTTTCATAATTTAACAACGAGACCTTAAAACGGAAGCATCCAAATAGTTGTTTACAATCACATCCAATAGTTATTTCTTCCAAGGAAACATATAAATATTTAAATTGATTGTTATTTAGGTGCTTCTGCTAGGCCACGAACTTGCTGATTTTCTACATTACCATTCAATTAACATCATTATTCTAGAAAAACGTGGGATAACTTTTTTGAAAAAAGATGTCTTCAATGCTTGTCGCGGCATGAGGGTTTTCAATTTTCTTAATATTATACGTACCTAACCAGCACTCGGCTTTCTTCTTTTTTATAGTTAAAATTTTAGAACATTGACAGCTATTCTTCTTCATTACAAAATTTCTTTCTGCTTACAGCAGCTACCACTTATATTCGATCTGGTTCTAAAGTCTGACTTCTCTTCTTCACAACTCAGACCAAACCACTAATGGCCAACCTTTGAAAATTTTCCTTTGAGTTTCTTACATTCTTAAGCCTTTACTTTTTCTAAATCTTTGTCTTCCCCTGTATCCTTTCACTTCATTTATCAGATACAGGGAAATGAACAATATCTGCAAGAGCCAAGTTGATGTTTTTCTCTTTTCCTTCTGTTTTCTTGTATGTTCGTTTGCTTATTTTTGCCATGCCGCTAACACCCTCACGAAAGGCGAGTCCTTAAAAGATGGCGATGACGCCTTGATTTCCACCAACGAAATCTTTAAACTGGGATTCTTTAGCACTGGAAATTCTAGTCTAAGATATGTTGGTATATGGTATAACAAGATTGAGTTAATTACGCCTGTATGGGTTGCAAATAGAAATACGTCAATCTCAAATGGAAACGGAACTTTAACCATTGGTGACAGTGGAAATTTGATGGTTTTAGACGGGAATAACACTCTAGTTTGGTCTTCTAATGCTTCGATAGAGTCAAACAACACAGCTGCAATACTTGGAAATGACGGAAATCTTATTCTGTCAAGCAGTGAAAACATTGGTAATATGGGTAAGGCCTATTGGACGAGTTTTGATAATCCAACGGATTCGTATCTACCAGGCATGAGACTTAAATTTAATCCTAGAAATGGAGAGAAACGTGTTTTCATTTCATGGAAATCGGCTTCTGATCCTTCAACGGGAAACTACTCAATGGGAGTTGATCCTCAAGGTGCAGCTCAAGGTGCGCCACAGATAGTGATGTGGGAGCAATTGAAAAGGCGGTGGAGAAGTGGGCAATGGGATGACAGAATATTTACAGGGGTTCCCTTCATGGCTGCTTCAACAAATTTCATTTATGGTTTCAAGCTATCATCTCCTGAACCGGATGGAAGCATGTACTTTTCATATAACCAAATGAATTCGTCTGATTTGTTGAGGTTCCGTCTTACCTGGGATGGATTCGAAGAGCAGCTAAAGTGGGATGAGGGTAACAAGAACTGGACTGAGATACAGGTAGAGCCGCTAAACGATTGCGAGCTTTACAATTTTTGTGGGAATTTTGGGTTTTGCAAGGTAAATAGTTCTCCCAAATGCAGTTGTATGGAAGGCTTTGTAGCGAGGGATGGGGAGCAATGGAATATGGGAAATTGGTCAGGTGGATGTGTTAGGAGGAATGAGTTGCAGTGCCGGAGGATTACTAGTGAAGCAGGGCAAAGTGGTGGAGCAGATGGTTTTAAAAAATTTAAGGGCATGAAGTTGCCTGATTTTGACAACGTAGAATCTGCAGGGAATTCCGAAACTTGCAAGGACAAATGTTTCCAGAATTGTTCATGTAATGCTTATGCGGATGTTGATGGAATTGGGTGCATGATATGGGTTGGGGATTTGATTGATGTTCAGAATTTCGACGACGGTGGAAATACACTACACATCCGACTTGCACATTCTGAATTTGGTAAACTTTTCATCTCTGTATAAGTTTGTTATTGTTAGTCTCTACTTTTATTTTCCATGGAAATCCCTTTAGTTTTAATTTAAGTATTTGTTTCTGTTTAGGCATAATATGATGAAAAACCTTGGCTATCCAACTTTAATCGTAGAGATCTAGTTTTGTGTGCTAATAATGAAATGAGTCAGTGATGTGATCATCTGATTCCTTTTAGTTTCATCATTTAAAAAATAGGTGGCAGTAGCAGATTATCCAATGCTGCAATAATATCAATTGCTGTGGTTGGATCATTCTTCTTGGCTTTATCTTTATGGCTTTTGTGGAAATTCAGGGGAAAACTGAAAGGTAAGATTATTATTTTCCACTGTCATTGCGCGACTAAAAGGTTCTTGGCTAATTATCTCTAAACTGTTTTTCTTTTTTTTCCAATTCTTCTCTTTTATTTCAATGTAGTTATGCACAAAGTCTCATCATTATCATGTTGCAAGAGCAAGAGGGACGATATGCCAGTCATGGATGCGAGCAGGAATGAAGAATTCTCAACAGATCTTTCAGGACCGGCTGACATTCTTATGGATGTAACTCAAGTAAACGGTGCTGATTTACCAATGTTCAATTTTAATACCATAGCAATCGCTACAAATAACTTTTCAGATGAAAACAAACTTGGGCAGGGAGGATTTGGTCCTGTCTACCAGGTAAATTTCTATCTTGAGCATGTTGTTAAATGCTTATATAGTTGGTGAGCTGAAATGTACTAAAGATAAATTTGTATTTCTTTTTTCACCAGGGAAAGCTTCCCGAGGAACAAGAAATAGCGGTGAAGAGGCTTTCAAGAAAATCTGTCCAAGGCTTAGAGGAGTTTAAAAATGAGGTTATACTAATTGCCAAATTGCAACACAGAAATCTAGTTAGACTGCTGGGGTGCTGCATTCAAGGGGAAGAAATGATGCTAGTTTATGAGTATATGCCAAACAAAAGCTTGGATTTCTTTCTATTCGGTATGTACCTAAAGTTGAATATATTAGTCTTTATAGATATTCATTACGCATCTGTATTCATGTTTGTTTTCTTGATCAACATCATGTCAGACACAGAGAAGCAAGCCCTGCTAAACTGGAAAAAACGATTTGCAATTATTGAAGGAATTGCGCGAGGGCTCCTCTATCTCCATCGGGATTCAAGACTTAGAATAATTCATCGAGATCTAAAGGCAAGTAACATTTTGTTGGACGAAGAAATGAACCCAAAGATTTCAGACTTTGGCATGGCTCGTATGTTTGGGGGCAATCAACATGAAGCCAATACAATCCGAGTTGTTGGCACATAGTAAGTATATAGCATGTTTGCACATTTAATATTGATTTTCAACCATACCAGTAACTTGATTAATCTGAATTTCACAATTTGTCTTAACAATGCAGTGGCTATATGTCCCCTGAATATGCAATGGAAGGCCTATTTTCAGTAAAGTCGGATGTATATAGCTTTGGGGTGTTATTACTAGAGATCATTTCTGGCAAGAGGAACAATAGCTTCCGTTCATCCGAATTCTCTAACCTTATTGGATATGTAAGTAGATTGAATTTGTTTTCTAGTTATACTTAATATGTAGAAGTTGAGTGACAAAAAAAAATTGGAATAATTTCAGGCATGGACACTTTGGAATGAAGGTAGAGCAATGGAACTAGTGGATCGGAGCATTCGGGATTCATGTTCTGAAAGTCAGGTGTTGAGATGCATTCATGTAGGGATGTTATGTGTGCAAGATTCTACAATGTACAGGCCGGATATGGCAAATGTGGTGCTGATGCTTGAGAGTCAAACTCCAACACTTCAAACGCCTAGACAACCAACCTTTACATCTATGAGGAACTCTGTGGATGTTGATTTTTCTTTGGAAGCTCACGATACCGTATCCTCCAATGATTTGACTGTTACTATGGTAGCTGGGAGATAGAAACTCTCATGAAAATATATATTATTTTCATTATATATACATAGATATAGATATAGGCACACACACAAGCTGTTTTATTCATTAATTAGTTTCCAGGTTGTATAGATTTTTGGTTTTTTATACTTGTGGGTTGGTCTCTTAATTTGTATTTTTGGCATTCAATATTCAAATACATATAGGAGTGTTTTTTCGTTAACATTGGTGTTATTAGATGGATGTTTCATCATCAGAAAGAAAAGGGACATGGGCATCTATTTGAGTTTCAGATACAGGGGATGCATGGATGGTGCAGGAAAACGATCAATATTAATCAGATCAAATTGTATTAATTTTGAAATTGAATCTCTCAAATTGCAACCCTATTCGATTCTATTTATTCAATTCCTGATCATTTTGTGGATACAAATACAATCAGGAAATGTATTATGTGTATAATGAATCGAATATTGTATCGTCTTCGAAAAATAGAATTTGGAGCACATTTTTTTAACTAATATTAACAAACAACATAATGCAACTTGCGATTAAATTATTGATTTGTTAGTTGCGACAACTAATTTTGGCTCAACACGATATTTATATTTAGAATAAGTATCTATCCACTGTAATATAATATTCAGGTAGGCGGATGAGTTTTACCTAGAGACAAAAAGATTAATATTAAACATCTAAAATTTTAAGTAACAAACAGGAAATCTATTATATAATAAGCTAACATCAATTAATTGATTTCCTTGATTGAATTAGATGGTTTCAGGCCCTTTGTCATTTGTAATGCTTCGTATACTCAGATTTATAATTGCTTTAAGGGAGTGTTTGATTCTCCAAATGAATGGTTCAGACAGAAAAAGGATCGGAATTTAAAAATATTTGTTTCAGCTCTTGATAATGTTGCCAAGTTAGCATGCACTGTCTTGTTTATTTAATTTTTATATAATTATAAAGGAAAGTGAGTTCAATCTCCATCAATGATTACTAAGTTTTTCATTTTTTATTTTTCGGAAAAAAGAGTGACATACTATTAAATCAAATTAAAGCCTTATCATGTGCAATTTGTGTCTGCTTAATTTGTTCTTTCTGTGCAAGGGTAGGGGCCATGCACGTTGTCCCCACCAGTCCAATTAACACTCATTATACTTTTAAAATTTATGCATAAGAGAGAAAATTATATCTTTTTTTTTTTTTTGGTTCTATCAAATCTATGTTTTGAAATGAAAATAAGTGAACTTCTTCAATTGATTTTCTAGATTAAAAAATTACTTTAATAATTCATTAATATTCCTAAAATAAGGGCTGACATATGCTGATATCATCAATCACCAATCAGAATCTAAGAAAGCATTCTACCATCTAGAGCATGACATGTCTCCAAAGGCAAAAAGAATATAGCTGTCACAGACCCAAACCAACTCAAGAATTTGTGTCTGAGTAAATTTGGCTCACACACTTGTCTAAGTCCCATTTACTTTAAGGATATTCTTTGAGTTCTCAACGAATGGGAAGACGAGAGATCTACACGACACCAGGCCACTTGTAAAAGTATAATCATTACCTTAAGCTAAACGGATATAAATAGGCAGCTCCCCCTTCATAACATAGAGGTTAGACATTCACGCATTCAAAAAAGAAAATAGCAAAGAGACTAGAAAGAGACTGGTTTGACATTCTCTAAGAACACTTAGAACACCAAACACGTGTAACCCTAGATCGCAACTCGTAACCTCTTGTAAGCTTTTCTAGTAATCAGAAAGTAATCTTTATATAAACGGACACAATGAATATAAGATTCGCTTTAAGCATCTGAACCATTATAAAAATCATCTTGTCAACTTTACATTTACGTCTTTGCATGCTATTGTACTCACAGTGCCTCACCCATTCGCTATAATTAGCTCACATGTGACTTCTTAGCACTTTATATATGCGAAGTCGTTAGTGTCAAAATCAAGCATCAACAGTTTGGCGCTGGAAGGAGGGGCAGATTTCACATAAGTTCATTATCCAGTAAACTGAACTGACCCGTCAATTCCTTTTTCAAAGATCAACCACAAATTATCATAACTCATGGTTTCGAAACTAAGTGTCCTAGCACGAACAACAACAATAAAGAAATTCCCCGCAACTAGGATGAAACTCCTCCTGAAGGAGTTCTGACTCCCCAAACCATAGTAGGGAGCATTCTTTCGACCTTCCAAACGGATCATGCCCTAATTCGTTATTTGGGAAAAGTGGACAACACTCTCCAAACGATGAACCAGCGATTGGAACGTTTGGACAAAGTAGTATTGCCAAATTCAAACAAGGCAATACCACCCCAAGGACGTTTGTAGGTCATGCAAAAGTGTGGAAACAAGCATATCCTCATGTCACGCACACTACAGTGCAAAAGGGTAAATGTGTCACCGACCAAGGGCAAAAAGGCCAAAAGGGCGTTCGAATACTGCCCATAAGCAAAGAGATAAAACTCTTGTTTAGCAACTTGGCAATACTTAACGTCAGGAACAATCCCACGACACATCGCACAAACACGCCCATGAAAGTGTTACGCATGGAGATTCCCACCACCATCAGCACGATGGTTCCGATCATCGCCGAGAGGAAAATACCCACAATCAGCGCATTGGCTCCGATCATCATAGAGATAGGGAAAACTCCCCCAACCACTTATTGCCTTCATAGGGTTTCAACCCACAAGTGTCAAGGCGTGCTAAAGGCTCTAGCCAAATCATGGGAAACACTGATCTGCAGTCTTTCATCAACCACAATCACAAGGCACGCATCCAGATTGCGGAAATTGATCCCCCAAGAGCTCCACTTCCTCAACTTGAGGATTTACAACAAGCTTTGGATTAGATTCAAGCTTAACAAAATGAGCAAGGAGTGATCATTGAGGCATCTCCCTTTTCTCATAAGGTTCTAACGGCACCTCTCTTGCCAAGATTCAGAATGTCAGATATGAAGGCATTTGACGAGAACGTTGATCCTTAAGATCACCTCTATGAGTTTAACGACCTCATAGAGCTGTACCAAGTCTCAAACTTGGCAAAATGTTGCTACTTGGTAGTGACTCTAACTGCCCATGCAAAACGTTAGTTCAGATCGCTTCTACTAGGGTCTATCAACACATGGCAGTAGATGAGCTCATTATTCCTAAGACACTTCTAAGCGAACAAGTAGTTCTCGATGCTGCTCAGCTGTTTGAGCAACATACAGCAAGAGAAGAACAAGTCTCTCAAGTCTTACATTGACAGATTCCATAAGGAACTGAATAAGTTGACTAATACACCCAAAGATTCAGTTTGAACTCTAATCATAGCAAAAGTTCGCCCACAAATCGATTTGTGGAATAAGCTGCAATCAGAGGACAAAATCTCCCTTACTCACTTCTACAACCTCGTAGAGAAATATCTATGCATTGAAAACTCAGTGGCAGCCCTAAATCACCACGACCCCAAGGCTTCGACTAGCGCTCCTAGTCAAAGGGATGAATCCAAATAGGGGGAGGGGGAGGGGGAGGGGGAAGGGGAGAGGGAGGGGGGGGGGGGGGGGATAGAGGAAATGATCGCAAATGGGCAAATGACGATCAGAGAAAGCGAAAAAAACAAAATTTTGAGCCCAAGAAGGCTTATGCCCCACTATCTTGTTGTGACAACTTCACTCCATTGAACACATCGATCTCAAACATCCTGGATGTATCAAAAGAAGTCAGCTTGCTCGCAAATCTGGAGCCCATGAAGGCACCCCTATCAAAGAGGAGCGAAAAAAATATTGTCGCTCCCACAGGGACATAAGACATCATACCAATGAATATCGTGCTCTCAAGCAAGCAATTGAAGATCTCATTCAGAAAGGTTACTTCAAAGAGTATGTTGACAATCCAATTCCCTTGAGGGAAAAAGATCGTGATGATGAGGAAAGAAGTAAAGGTCGCAAGGGTCTCTACTTAGTTTGGACCATCATTGGGGGACCTCATATCGCAGGGGCCTCTTGGCATGCACAAGGTCAGTATGCCCGAGAAGCCTGATATGAGCCCTACAACGTCTTCAATTTAGAGCAGCAACCTCACAAACATCGCTAAGAAGAAGAAATAGCCTTCTTTGAGAAAGACGCGAGGCAAGTGCATCACCCTCACACTGATGCATTAGTCATCGCAATTGAGATAGAAAGGTGTGAAATCCACAGAATGTTGGTGGACAATGGAAGCACCATGAATATCCTATTTCAGACGACCTTTGAGGAGATGAAGCTTGAAGATACATACCTGAAGCCTATAGCCACTCCTCTTTATGGTTTTACCGAGGACTATCTAACTCCCCGAGGAATGATAACTCTTTGAGTGTGTTTGGTTCAGAGAATGTTGCATTGCTAGGAATGTTATATTAATGGAAAGATAGATTACCTTGAAGATTATTGAGAATGTTTAGGGAAATGTGTTTGGTTGGCTGGAATAAATTAGTGGTTATGTTATATTAACATGTTTGGTTGAAAGGAATAAATTTGTGAGCATGTTATATAAATTACTAAATTGTCCTCCTTTTTAAATATTAATATAATATTTTTTTATTAATTTTTTTTGAATAACTTTTTTTAACCCTCTACATTTCAGATTTAGCTAAAACACCCTATCAACACAAAAAGTTTAGAACTTTTTTGACTTTCATGGCCAAATATTTTGCCTTTCACTGCCGAAAACAGCTTATCGGCCACGACCAACCATATATGGCTAGTCGTGTGCCATTCCGTCGTTGCTAGTGGCTAGATCTAGTCGCCACCCTTGGGGTAATTTTTTTAAATTTCAAGGGTATTTATGTCCCAAAAACTTTGTATATAAGGATAAAATAGTCAATTGTATATTTGTAAATTGTTTTTAAAATAAGGGCCTTATTGTCCTAAAATTTTATTAATAAAGGCTAAAATTTTATTAATAAAGTGTAAAATTGTAACAAAACTAAGATTACCAAGTAATTTTAAAATACCTAAGAAAATGGAGGTAATCAGATTACTTCCTATATTACCAACAATAACTACTATTGGTATTGGAAGATTACCGGAATCTTATATTACTTAACAATCAAACGTGGTAATAAAGTAATACAAGATGACATTACCTTAGTAATTTCCTATTACCCCTGACCAAACACACCTTTCCAGTCATTTTGGGTGATCCCCACAGAATGACTAAGATGACGGAATTCATGGCAGTGCATCATTGGACAACCACTACTACGGAACTTCAAGGCCGTCACTTCCATCTATCATCAAAAGATGAAGTTCCACACTTCTTCTAGGTGTGGAGAAGTAAGGGGATCATAGCATGAATCCCGTAACTATTACAATCAAGCAGTCTAGCTCGCATGCAAGGGAAAAGGAAAACTTGAGGGCAAGCTAGAGTAGTCAATGGCAATCAATAAGACCAAGCCACATTCTGGCCTAATGGAGGATAACATTGATCTTCACATCCAGA